AAGAATACGAATGTAAACGACGGCGGCGTAGGCTCGGTTTGAGGCATCCGCGAAACCGTGTAGTTCAAAGGCGACGTCGTTACCTCGTCGACTGGTCCAACGAGGGATTCGGATACCGTTTAGTGTCTCTAAATTCTTATAATATGCCTCCAACTGCTGACGCAATTCGTCAGGGAGAGGGGTGTCCCAATCGGATTGGGTTAACCATAATTCCTGTAAAAGGATTTTTGCAACAATGACGACGGGGGCGGCCCAGCCGAGGGGGTCGTATAATCGAGCAATAACGGACAGGACTGTACGCTTCGTCGGAGTGACCGGAAACGAAGCGTCCACTTGAAAACGAAACGTGTCGTCGTGGGGAATCCACGAAATTCCGAGTACCTTAAGGGTCTCGTCCTGCTGAAGGAAGTGATCCTCCATGTCGGTTTGACGCGTTGCCAAATCGCGCAGCAATTCAGGCGAATTCGACGCCCATTTCCATAATTGAAAGCCCCCTCGCTGAAGGAGTCCCGTCAATTGCTCGCGACACTCCATCAGCGACGCGACGTCATCTCCACCGAATAGCGCGTCGTCGACGTAGACGGAGTCGCGTAGTATCGGGACGGCCGCCGGATAGTCGGACCCTTCGTCTAACGACAATTGTTTCAAAACGCGCATCGCGAGATACGGAGCGGGAGCGAGCCCGTACGTTACGGTCAAAAGCCGGAAAAGCGTGATCGGCGTGTTGCAGGACGGACGCCAGAGAATTCGTTGGAAGTCGGTATCGAGATTATTCACGAGGATTTGCCGGAACATCTTGGCGATATCTGCCTCATAACAAAACGCCATTGCAGCCAGCGCAGCAGAATAGCGGGGAGATCTTGCTGTAACTTCGGTCCGACCAGCAGATGGTCGTTAAGCGACGTGCCGTTCGTCGTTTTGCACGAGGCGTTAAAAACGACGCGTAACTTCGTGGTACTACTCGTTTCGCGTAAAACCGAATGATGCGGAATGTACACGGGCGTAAGAGCGGTGTCGCTGGGACTTTCGATTGCGCTCATATGTCCCAAGGCGAGATATTCCGCCAAAAAGTCATTATACTGCGCGGAGAGTTCGGCGTGCCGACGCAGCTTCCTTTCCATTTTCTCGTAGAATACCGTGGCGATAGGCAGTGAGTCGCCTATGTCGATTGGTAGTTCGTGCCGGAAGGGCAATCGAACAATGTACCGTCCTTCCGGAGAACGGCTATGAGTGGCGAGGAAGTGTTGTTCGCAACGCTCCTCCTCGTCGGTAAGTGGAGGGGGGCGCGAGACCTCCTCGTCCTCCCAAAATTGCCTGAGAAGCGAATTCGTGTCGTGCGTAGACACGTTATGACAGACGCAAATATTCTCGGATTCAATCCGGCCGCGACCCGTGGGGCCGGAGAGAATCCAGCTTAACGCTGTCAATTGAGCGGTAGGCATTCCAATAGGGCCTTGCCGGAGGCCATTTTTCAACAAGGAACCGTACAAGTCGGCACCGATTAGTAAGTGAATCCGATGTCGACTTGAAGAATCGGGATCGGCAAATGAGATGCCTTGCAAGTGAGGCCACGACTCGACGGGCTGAGTCCGTGACGCGGCGTACGAAGTGATATTTTGAAACACGTAGGCGTGCAGCGGAAAGGCCGGTTCCGCACTGGAACACGGCTTTAATGTCAGCACGACGCGAGATCTCGCGACGCCTGTAAATTTCTCGCCGAAACACGTAACTTGCAAATTTGAGCGTTGTCGCTTTGTACGCAACGTCTGACAGAGCGATTGCGAGATAAAACTGAAAGTTGATCCAGTAAGGCGCGAACTTTAAAGCTTCGGCCTTCGGTCGTATGAATGTCAACCCATGCTGTTGCCAAGAGGACATTCGAAGGAACTGTGTCCGCGGGGGGATCGGTCCGTTTGTTCGCGACATGATTGTTGCTCGCAGCGACTGGCGCGTTGGACGCCGTCGGAGTGAACGGTTGCGCTTCCGCTCTTATCTTCGAAGAATTTGCCATAGCATCGGCTTTTACATTATTTGAGAAATGTAGTAACGAGTGATGTGAACGACTACAGTACGAACATCGAGATTTGCTCGGGCATTGCTGAAGGAAATGCCCGGATCTCAGACAATTGAGGCAAAGCCTGCTTTGACGCGCGAAATCGCCGCGCTGCTCAACCGTTTTATCAAGAAACTCTTTACATTTCGAAACCGAATGATTTCCGGAGCAACCAACGCATTTGTTTGCGGTGACGTTATTAACCGACGAGCGCGGCTTATCGTCTTTTTAACGACGAGTATCCTTCGGCGAATCGGAAAGATCGGATAATCCGCGAATGCGTAGAGTCAGAAAGTCATTAATATCTTTGTAAGACGGAAGCTTGGCGAATTCCGTACGTTTCAAATTCCATTCGCTGCGAGTGCGAGGACTAAACTTTTGAGCAATAAGATAAACGAGCAGATCGTCCCACTCATTTACCGGACGATCGAGATTCTTTAGCGCGGTTAACGACGAAGAGACCGTATCGCAGAGTTTTTGCAAGTCGTTCACATTCTCCGTTTTCATCACAGGTAGACTAGCAAACGCGTGCAAATGCGTATGAACTGAGGTTTGCTTGTCGTCGTATTCGTCGATCAGCAATTGCCACGCGGAGTCGTAATTAGCCTCCGAAATTTTCAAGTTATTGATCAGCACCGCGGCTTCACCGGTAACGCTTGTTTTTAAGTAATGAAATTTCTGAACTTTAGAAAGCGAAACACTACAGGCCACGAGAGACTCGAACATGTTTCGAAAACTCTCCCATTCCGCGATTTTACCGGTAAATTTTGGCAACGATATACGTGGCAATCGCGAGATCTGAGAACCCGACTCGCGCGAAACAGACTCGTCGTGACTATCGGATAATGAAGAGTTAGTGTTAGCGGGTAACAGTCTACTTAGCGCGTTTTGTAGAATGTCGCTCGTGTTGGCATAGACGTCCTCGGCTTCCAGGATTACGTTGTCCACGAAGTAGGGCAGGCCCTTTAGCTCCCCGGACGTAGCGGTCTGCAAAAGCAGGACATGTTGGTTGCTACAGGCGGCCCAGAGCTCCTTCAGCTGGGAGATGCGGCTCTGGATCGTCGGCACCGTCACGCTCGCCTTCGGGAGTTTCTTGTAGTTGATGAGCACGCGTGTGAGAGCACCAATTTTGTACTCTTGCGCTAAGATCAGATTCTCGGTTTCCTCGGCCATCGTGAGGTACGTTTGGAATCGGGGCGCTAGTAGCGGCACTCGCGAATTATTTTTCGAAACGAGGAGCTCGTCGCGTCGACGAAAGTTAATGTTACGGGCGGAACGCAAATCGCGTTTTTCGCAAGAGTCAATGCACGAGCGAGACGCGAGTAGCCGCGTTCGCGAGAGTCACTAGCTCGACGGAGCGTAAGGAGCGTCCGCGAATAGCACGATAAGTTCACTACGCGAAACGCGTGGAGCAGCGTTCGCGAGAGTCACTAGCTCGACGGAGCGTAAGGAGCGTCCGCGAGTAGCACGATAAATTCACTACGCGAAACGCGTGGAGCCGCGTTCGTGAGAGTCACTAGCTCGACGGAGCGTAAGGGGCGTCCGCGAGTAGCACGATAAATTCACAACGCGAAACGCGTGGAGCAGCGTTTGCGAGAGTCACTAGCTCGACGGAGCGTAAGGAGCGTCCGCGAGTAGCACGATAATTCACTACGCGAAACGCGTGGAGCAGCGTTCGCGAGAGTCACTAGCTCGACGGAGCGTAAGGAGCGTCCGCGAGTAGCACGATAAATTCACAACGCGAAACGCGTGAAGCAGCGTTCGCGAGAGTCACCTTCCGCGAGCGAAGTTTGTAAGGCTTCGGCGCGGGAGTCGACGCACCGACGGACGCGAGTTGCGACGTCCGTGACTTATCCGATGCGGCGGAGTAGTTTGTGCGCCCGCATGATGAGCACGAACGGAGAGTCGCGTATCCGGTTTTCACTGATATCCGGTTCGAAGGACCACTTTGTTGCAGGCGGCGGGAGCCTTCGATCAGGTTCCCCCCTTAACGACAATTAAGACTATTTAATTTTGGTGCCGGATTCGCTCGGACGCTTCGACGGAGCCCTCTCGACCCGTCGGTCTCCAGATTCGTACTGACTTTTGTCGCGCGAACTCGAACGGCTCGCGGCTTTGATTTTGGAAGCGATAACGCGATTTGCCGATAACATCGGCCCAGCAACGAGCGACGAATCAGGGGATAACACACCAAGTACGACGAGGGCCTTTTTTCTGTGTCGAAAGACTCCCGTCGTCATCGGCACACAAACACTCGCTCTCGACGTCGACATTGCTCGAAAGTCGAATCAACAAAGATTCGAAGCGAAGAAGTTTCTCGAGCGATCTCAACGGCCGCACGAATTAACGCTCTAATTCTGAACACTGTGTGTTGACTTCCGTTTCCGGTTTGCAAGGAGATAATAGGAGATAGGAAAGTGGACAGAGCAGAGAGCGAGATTAGAGTGATAGAGTGGAGTGAGTGTGTGTTGGTAGGCGTAGGTGAGAAAGGGAGTGGAGGGAAGGTGGTGAGAGTGGGGGAGAGGTGGAGGAAAAGGTTAGTGACAGTAGAGAAGGGACAGAAGAGAGGGAGAGGTTAGGGGACAGAGATAGTATTGGGAAAACGTGGCGCAAGAGGTGGGAAGAGGAGAGGGAGTAAGTGTGTTCGGTTTTCGGGAGAAAGACTGAAAGGCGGTTAGAGAAGGAAAGGCTGTGAAGGTGAAGAAAAAAGGTGAGAAAGTGAAGGTGAAGAAAAAAGGTGAGAGAAAGAGAAAGAAAGAAAGAAAGAAAGAGAGAGGGGGGGGGTGAGTGTGAGACAGCGAGAGCGAGAGAGAGCGAGGGAGAGAGTGAGTGAGAGAGAGGGGGGGAGGGAGAGAGAGAGTGAATGAGTGAGTGAGGGAGAGAGAGGAATAAGGAGAGATGACGGAAAGAATCATGAAGTTGGAGAAGGATAAAAGGAGAAGTACGGGGGAACTGGCGAAGTTCATGAAGAGGAAGAGGGAAGGGGAGGGGGGAGAATCGGAAGATAGGAAGATGGAAGAGGCATTTAGGAGCAGCAAAAAGACCCCTGTTTTGAGATCACCTGTCAAAATGGGGGAGGGAGGAGAGATGAAGGAAATATTAAAGGAATTGAAGGAATTAAAGGAAATGAGGGTGGAAATGAGAGTGGGCTTGAAGGGAATGAGTAAAGAGATAAGAGGTAGCGGAGGGACAAAAGGAATGGATGAGAAAGAAAATGGAGAAAGTAAAAGAAGAGTTAAGGGTGAAAGAAGAAAAATGGCAGAGGGAAAAGGGGGAATGTTGGAGAGATTAAAAGTGTTGGAAGGGGAATTGGGAAAAATGAAGGTAGGGACAATAGAAAGAAAAGGAGAGGGATGAGAAGAGAGGGAGGGAGGGAAGGTAGAGAAGGGAGAAGGAAAGGAAATTTGGATGGAAAGGATAAGAAGATTGGAGAGAAGGAGTGAATGAAGAGAGAGAGAGAGAGAGAGAGAGAGAGAGAGAGAGAGAGAGAGAGGAGAGGAAAAGAAATGTAGTGATAAGAGGTATAAAGGCGGGAGAGGGGAAGATAGAAAGGAAAGTTAAGGAGATATTGGAAAGTATAGAAAAGGGAAATAATGAGGGAAACAAAAAGTAGAGTTAGAGCGAGAGGGGGGTGGGAATTAGGGGAAAGCTTCTGGACAGCGAGGGGGGTAAGGCAGGGGTGTCCACTGAGTCCTTTGTTATTTAACATTATGATGGCGGATTTAGAGGAAGAAATGGGTAAGGTTAAATGGGGGGGAGGGGTGAAGGTAGCAGGGGAGAGAGTGTATGGATTGGCGTATGCGGATGATATAGTGTTGTTGGCGGAGGATGAAAGGAGTATGAGAAGTTTGTTAGAGAGGCTGGAGGGATATGTGGATAGGAAGGGGCTGGAGTTGAACATAGATAAAACAAAAATAATGAGGTTTAGAAAGGGAGGGGGAAGGAGTAATAAGGTGGATTGGAGATGGAAGGGGAAAAGGATAGAAGAGGTGAAAAAGTTCAGATATTTAGAGTATACCATGCAGAGGAATGGGGGGGCAGGAGGAGCATGTAAAGGAGAGAGTGGCGAGGGCGATGATCGTAATGGGACAGATGTGGAAGATAGGGAAGGAAAGGACTGGAAAAGAAGGGTATGGTTATTTGATAAGCTGATTTGGGCGATGGTGAGCTATGGGGTGGAAATTTGGGGATGGAAAGAGAGAGAAGAAGTGGAGAGTTTACAGGAAAGGTATTTAAGGTGGGTGTTAGGAGTAGAGAGGACGCCAGGATATTTGGTGAGGGAGGAGTTGCAAAGGGAAAAGTTGAGGGCAAAGGCGGGAAAAAGGGCATGAGCATTCGAGGAGAGATTAAGGAGGGGGGGTGGGAGTAGGTTGGCGAGATTGTGTTGGAAGGAAGTGATGGGTAGTTTAGGGAAGGGGGAAAAGCTAGAAGGATGGGAGAGGGAAAGAGAGCCATATTTTGTGGAAAGAGGGGTGGAGGTAGATAGAGGGGTAAGGGGGGATGGGGAGGAGAGGTTAATTTTGAGGAGATACAAGAAAGGGATAGGGAAATGCAGAGGGTGGAAATATGGGAAAAGATTAGGAATTCGAGATATAATAGGTGGTATAGATGGATAAAGGGGGAGGGGCTGCCGAAATATTTAAGTAAGGGATGGGGGGAAGGGCGATGGAGAAGGGTAGCTAGGTTCAGGTTCAGGTTAGGGAATGAGGTGAAGGAAGGGAGATATTGGGAGGAAGAGGAGGAAAGGAAGTGCAGGCTATGTGGGAGTGGGTGTGAAACGTGGGAGCATATGTGGGAGGGATGTAGGGCTTGGAAAATGGGGGAGAGAGGGAGCTGGTAAGAAGTGGTGTGTAGAATCTTGGAGGAAGAGGGGGAGGGGAAGGGTGGTTGAGGGAAGTGGAGGAGGAAAGGAAGAGAGTGAGGGAAGAAGAGAGTGGGAGAGAGGGAGTGAGGGGGTAGAGAGGATGGGAGAAAGGAGAAAGAGAGAGATAGAGAGAGAGAGAAGGAGAGGAAGAGGGAAGCTCTGTGAGGAAGTATGATGAGAAAGATTAAGGTAAAAGTAGGAAGTGGAACCACGTATATGATGTGGGAGGACAGCGGAAGCGGAGGTCACGGCGTAGAGAGAGAGAGAGAAAGAGGGTAGAAAGCGTAGTTTTTTAAGATAGCATAAGTTAGGTTAAGAGAAGTAGGATAAGATTATGTAAGAATATGTAAGAGGCGATACAGATGTTTGTATATAAATTGTAACCCTGAGGGGAATCAAATAAAGATCTATCTATCTAACACCTGTGTGTTTCCAACAAATTATGTAGAATAATATCGAGATATGATGACTTGTTGTAACAAAGTACTTGTAAGATATTCTGTTAACTGTCATCATGATAGACAATCTTATATACAAAATCTGTAGAGAAGATCAAGGAGAAGTTCAATCTGGAGTTATATATATATATATATATATGTGTGTGTGTGTGTGTGTGGGAAAAGTTATATTGAGTGAAGGAAAGTATGACTGTAGTAATCGTTCAGTATCACCCTGTTTGTTTAATTCATCAATTAGTTTTTTAATGAACATCATTTCAGATGTGGATCTCAAAAAATTCACATCTGAAGAGATATTTATTAAAAACAAATTGATGGATTGAACAGAGTGATACTGAAAGATTACAAGAAAGATCACACTTTCCTTTACTCAATATAACTTCCCCCACATAACTCCAGATTGAACCTCTCCTTGATCTTCTCTATAGATTTTTGTATATAAGGTTGTCTATCATGATGAGATGATGAGAGAAAATAGCCTAATTTAAGACCGTAATGTTTATTTCATTCTTATTTGAAATATAAAATATTAGCTACCAACATCTTGCGTTTGTGGTGAATGCCCTTTAATTTTCTGTTTTATTCAATAAAAATATTATGTCCACATTTTTGGTTAATGTAAAGAACATCCTGGCCACCACAAATTTTGATAAAAATATACTCAATCGATGTGTTTTCGTGTAAAAGTAAAGATTTAATAAGAAAAGAGCGTTGCTCTGCCCCATGAACCGAGATCGTAATGTTAAAGTCGACGACTATTCAGGTTAGAAAACATGTCAAAGTAGTGGTTCACTGCATTAAAAACACAGATTCACTTCTTTAAAAACATAAGTTCTCTGCATTAACAACAA